CATCAACTCCCCGAGCAGTCCTTGGCAGTTTAATGATAAAATCCATGGTGATTTGTTCCCACTTCCATTCGGGAACCTCCAATGGTTGCAACTTACCATGCGGCCTCTGATTCTCGGCCTTAACCTTACGGCAGGTTAAGCACCTCTCGACGAACCACGCAATGTCTCTCTTCATACAGGGCCACCAATACTCCTTCCTCAAATCCAAATACATCTTAGTGGCCCCGGGATGGATTGAGATTTTCGACTGATGAGCCTCTTCCATCAAAATGGTACGTGTACCCCCCACGAACGGTACCCAAATACGCCCCTGAAAAGTCATAAGCCCCCGACCATCAGTAACGAACTCCGATACCAATTCAACAACTCGCTCTCTCTTCTGGTTTCCCGACCTCACTGCCTCAGCCTGTGCTCCTCGAATGGTGTCCAACACCGGAGTCATCACGGTAAAACGCAAACACATACCTCGCAACGGGGCACTCTCCGCCCGACGACTCAGGGCGTCGGCTACCACATTAGCCTTGCCCGGATGGTACAAGATCTCACAATCATAATCCTTAACCACATCCAACCACCTCCTTTGCCGCATATTTAGGTTGGGATGATCCATCAAATACTTCAGACTCTTATGGTCCGTGTATATCGTACACCGAACCCCATACAAATAATGGCACCATATCTTGAGGGCGAACACCACTCCCCCAACTCTAGGTCATGGGTGGGATACCTCGACTCGTGAGGCTTCAACTGCCTCGATGCATACGCTATCACATGCCCTCTCTGCGTTAGTACCGCTCCCAATCCCAAAATCGATGCATCGCAGTATACAACAAAATCCTCCATTCCCTCCGGGAGGGCTAACACCGGGGCCTCACATAACCTTTGGCAAAGTGTCTCAAAGGAAGCCTGCTGCTCGGGACCCAATGAAAAAGCAACACCCTTCCGGGTCAACTTAGTGAGTGGTACTGCGATCTTGGAGAAATCCCTGATAAATCTCCGATAATAACCGGCCAACCCTAGAAAACTCCTGATCTCGGAGGGTGACCTTGGCACTTCCCAAACCATAACTGCCTCCACTTTGGCCGGATCGACCAATATCCCATCCTTGTTAACAAGATGTCCAAGGAACTGGACCTCTTGCAACCAGAAGTCACACTTAGAGAATTTGGCATAAAGCCTCTCCGATCTCAGAACTCCAAGGATCTCCCTAAAATGCTCCTCATGCTGCTCCCTAGATCTCGAATACACCAAAATGTCATCAATAAATACGATCACCGACCGATCTAACATCGGCCTGCATACCCGGTTCATCAGATCCATAAACACTTCCGGAGCATTGGTGAGTCCAAAAGGCATCACCACAAACTCATAATGCCCATAACGCATCCTAAACGCTGTCTTCTGGATGTCCTCATCTCGTACCCTCACCTGATGGTATCCAGACCTCAAATCGATCTTGGAGAACCAAGATGCTACCTGCAACTAGTCGAACAAATCGTCGATCCTTGGCAACGGGTAACGATTCTTGACCGTCAGCTTGTTCAACTCTCGGTAATCAATACACATATGATATGAACCATCCTTCTTCTTTACAAACAGAATGGGCGCTCCCCACGGCGAGCTACTCGGCCGAATAAACCCTTTCCCAAGCAGCTCCTGAAGCTGCGAGGATAGCTCTTGGATCTCTGGAGGTGCAAGACGATAAGGCATCTTAGCAATAGGCGCGGCCCCCGGGACCAAATCAATACCGAACTCTACTTGCCTCACGGGAGGCACCCCCGGTAACTCCTCCGGAAAAACATCTGGAAACTCACGCACTATAGGAACCTCCTCCACCGACCTCGGCCTCCCGGAATCAACCCGCGTATCTGACACGTACGCCACAAAACCCATACAGCCCTGCTATAAACACTATCTCACCCTAGCGGCCGAACAAAATGTTGATCCAGAACGGGTACCCTCGCCGTACACTGTAAGAACTCCCCCACTAGGGTCTCGTATGGTCACTAGCTGTCGCTCGCAGTCGATAATCGCACCGAACTTGCTCAACCAGTCCATGCCTACGATGACACAAACATCCCCCATGGCAATAGGAACCAAATCAATCGGGAACTCAACACCGAAAATCTCGAGTACGCACCCACGGATCACCTCCGTGGCATATATCGCCTTCTCGTCAGCTATGGAAACTCTTAGAGGCCGACTCAGCGCCTCGCGACTAATACTGATGTGCTGACTAAAAGCCAAAGATACAAAGGACCGACTCGCACCCGAGTCAAATAATACCAAGGTAGGTACATAATTCACAAGAAAAGTACCTACGCATAACATAATATAAGCATAATATTTCAAATTATAATAAATACACGAAAGAATACATACCAACCACGACATCGGGCGCTGCGCGGACCTCCTCCGCAGTCAACTGAAATGCTCTCCCTCGTGCCCTCGGTGCCTCGGCCTTCACTGGCCCACTCCCGGTAGCTCTGATGGCGGCAGGGGCAGATCCCTGAGGTGCTCCCTGAGCTGATCCCCGCAACTGCGGACACTCCACCTTCCGTGTCCGGTCTGGTTGCAGTGAAAACATACTGCAAACCCCTTGGGGCAGTCCTTGGCCATATGCCCCTCCTTGCCACATTTGTAGCAAGATCCCGCTCTACACACTCCATCATGACCCTTGCCGCACTTTCCACAAGTGCGGCCCTTCTGGCTCCGTGATTTGGGATCAGCGGGCTTGGCCCGCTTGGCTGCCGGCTGGAATTGTACCGGTCGCCGATCCCTCCCCTGAGACTCAGCCTCCTCCCTAGCCTGGGTCTCCAGCTCAATCTCCCTCTTCCGGGCATTTGCCTGAAGCTCGGAAAATGTCCGGTATGAGGAGTTCGCCACGAACTCCCGAATGTCCCGTCTCAAAATACTCAAATATCGACTCATACGTGCCTGCTCAGTGGACACGTGCTCAGGGCAGAACATCGCCCTCTCGTGAAACATCCTGGTGATCACTGTAACAGACTCAGTACCCTGCTTGAGGGTCAGAAACTCCTGGGCCAACCGCTCCCGCTCCACCTGGGGAACATACTCATCTCGGAACATGGCAGTGAACCTCTCCCAGGTCACTGCCGCAAGCTCAGCAGGCGAAAAATGTGCTGTGACAAACTTCCACCAGTCCTTCGCTCCCAAGCGAAGCTGGTTCAGCACGAACCGTACTCTCAGATGCTCAGGAGATGAGCAAGTGAAGAAACACCCCTCTATGTCAGAAATCCATCTCATGGCCGCCACCGGGTCCTGGGTCCCATCAAACTCCGGTGGTTTCGTGTTGCTGAACTCCCGGAACAGCAACGCGTCACCACCCTGCGGCCTAGCAGCAGCAACAGCTGCAGTGGCCGCCGCAACCGCAGCCTCAGAAAGAGCGGCATAACGCTCGTCGAAAGTCTCGATCAGCACGGTCTTAATAGACCCGAACATCTCTGGTATCTCTGCTCTGATGACCGCAGCCACCTCCTCATGAATGATCTGCCGGATCTCCTCATCACTAGCCCCGACACCCTCCGGCATATGACGTGTCCTCACCATGATCAACCTCTGAAATACAACATACGATAAATTAGAATCCGCTCGAGCATACTCACACTCGACAACCCATCCCTCCTTGATTCTTGGTATTCCAAAGATTCTTATTTGGACCGTGCACCGCCCCGGTGCTTTCAGTAGTACGGGCCCAATACTACTGTCCACACCGTCTCAGTACACACCCCAAATCCTCCTCTTCGGATCCCAAATTCCAAGTACTCTATCACTCTCTAACAGATCTCTCATAAGCTCCTCGCTGCTACCTATTCGCTCTCAAGCATCTCATAGCAGCTCACATCTCCCTAGGCTAAGGCATCACAAATCAGGGCACTCTAGTCCTAATAAGAATACCTAGCCTACTCTAACAAGAGAATACACCATAAACATATAATATAAGGGTATTTTGGGAAATCACCGTTCGGGCGCTGACTGATCGTACACACGTTTCTTCCTTGAATTTCTCTAAAAATCTTTTACTCTTAGAAAAGTTAAATTTTCTTTTGAAAATATTTTTCCAATCCTCAGTTTGAGTTCAAATACTCCCGAAGGTGTACCCGAATCCCTCAAACCAAGGCTCTGATACCAAATTGTAACACCGTAAATTTCAAAACAAAATTTTCAAATTTTTGTAAAACATAATTCATTTAATATTCATAAAACAACCATATTAATTATCCAATTCAAGTAAATACAAAATCCCAAGATCACAAATGTATAAACTCCGTGTGTGTGTACGGATCAAGCCGGCGCCTTCCCGCGGTCGTCACTAGTACCTGAAACAATAACATCAAACACTGTAAGCACAAAGCTTAGTGAGTTCCCCAAAATACCATATATAACACATATTAGCCACTCGAGGCTATAACTCTGTGGGTCCGTGCACCCAAACTCTGTGAACCCTCAGGTTCTAACTCTGTAAACATGCACAACATAAATCACATAGAAATAATGCAGTACAACACATAACATACATAGCATACAAACACTCTATCACATAACTCTGGTTACCTACTCAAGGTAAAGTATAGTGAGAAGACTCACCTCGCGTCTCGGTAAGTCGTGAATCCTGAAATCACTAGTGCTCGATCCCCCGAGCTAAAGTCCTCCTATATCACAATACATCTCTAATTAACACTTTCCCAACTAAGGTTGACTACTCTTTAACAAGTCAACTTAGGTCAACGGTCAACGGTCAACTTTGACCGGACTCGACGAGTGCACAATAGCGACTCGGCGAGTCTGAGCATATACACTGATTTCCCTGAAATCCTCCCTTGACACGTCGAGTATCCTCCTAACTCGACGAGTCCCACCTGGCATGAGTTGTGGGGCC